TGATCTACCCACCTCCGGTGAAAACTCCCAGCATCACCCCAGGGGGCAATGACTAATTACAAAACACATTTTTCTCTCTGTTTCATTTCGCTTGCTTCCCCGCCCACAGCGCCACCCCCGCACAAGCCGCCGACTCCCTCGCTAGACTGGGTTGAATGAACTCTTGGCCGGCCCCTCCTCCCCACTCTGCACCCTCCGGGGCGCTTTCCTGCCTGCTCAGCTTTACTTTCACTTTCTAGTCGCTCTCACTCTGCATCCGCTTCTTAACCCTGGCGCCCTGGCTGTTTTCTCAACGTGGGGGCCACTGCTGAAGCCCTGAGCTGCTCCCAGTTAGTCAGGTATTTGATTCAACGCCTGTCCACAAATCTTTATCCAGCGCATTCTGTCCCAGGCTTCCAGTGATCGGTGCTAGGGACCCGGGCAAGGTTCTGCACACCCAGCTTCTGGAAGCCTGATGACACAGAATCGCAATCAAGAGATTAGAAACAGTGCACAAAGCCTCTGCGGCTTGGTCCACGGTGCTAGGGACACCACGGAGAGGGGACAGCTAAGCCGTTCTGGGGCAGCCAGGGAGGGGTCCCTGGAGAGGGGAGAGGTCTGCACTGAGGCCTGAAGGTCTTGGAATTGGCTGCTAGCCAGAGGAAGAAAGAGAGGCGTAATTCCAAGCCAAAGGAGCTGCCTGTGAGTGGTACCACCTTTGGTGAGGCTGGCTGGAGCCCACCGAGAGGGGAGCAGTGTAAGGAACTGGGGTCCCCAAAGGCAGGAAGGAGGGAGATCTAAAAGAACCTTGAAAGCCTGCTGAGCCATTTGGATTCTGTCCTGAGGGTGATGGGGAGCCCTGGGAAGGTCTTAAGTCAGAGGGATGTAACCGCATCGATGGGTTAGAGGTCAAGACTGTACACTGAGAGATGAGTCAGGAGGTGGTAGTTGCAATGGGAGGAAGTGAATGGACCTGAGAGGTACTGAGAAGGCAGAATAAGGAGGTTAGGGAAAGGAAGCAGGCAGGGGTGACCCAGAGTTCTTGCTTAAATGGTGGTCCTCTGTTCCCTACCGGAAGAAGAGGTGGGTGGCAGGTTAGGGGGTGGATACAAAGGTCCGTCTAGTCAAGGCTATGGTTTTTCCAGTGGTCGTGTATGGATGTGAGAGCTAGACGATAAAGAAAGCTGAGCGCAGAAGAATTGGCGCTTTTGAACTGTGGTGTTGGAGAAGACTCTAGAGAGTCCCCTGGACTGCAAGGAGATCCAGCCAGTCCATCCTAAAGGAGATCAGCCCTGAATATTCATTGGAAGGACTGATGCTGAAGCTCCAATAGTTTGGCCACCTGATGCGAAGAACTGACTCATTGGAAAAGACCCTGATGCTGGGAATGATTGAAGGCGGGAGGAAAAGGGGATGACAGAGGATGAGATGGTTGGATGACATCACTGATGTGGTGGACATGAGTTTGAGTAAACTCTGGGAGTTGGTGATGGACAGGGAGGCCTGGTGTGCTGCAGTCCATGGGGTTGCAAAGAGTTGGACACGACTGAGCGACTGAACTGAACTGAGGGGGTGGATGACAAAGTCCTTCTGGACAAGCTGAATTTTACATGCCTGTGGGACACTAAGCCTTTGACTACTTGCTCTGTGCCCCATTCTTGACTGGCACTGCCACCCACACACGATGGTAATGGAAGGCAGGGTGAGGTGCAGTGTGAGCAGCAGTGAAGGTCCACAGTAGAGATGTCGGTGCAGGCGGAGGACACCACACCAGTACAGGACCAGAAGGGAGCGGCAGGAGGTGGGGTGGACAGCTCAGGATGGGTTGGAGGAAACCCACCGCTTCCAGGGGAGGGATGTGGTCCGGGTGTGGCCTGCTGCTGTGGAGGCAGGAAGGTGAGGCCAGCAAAGCTTCCGTGAGTCTGAGGGACATGTTGATAGTGAGAGCAGTTTCGGTGGTGGTGGCGGTGGCAGAGAGCAGTTTTGGTTTTGAGGTTGGAGAGCAGCAGGGAGGGAGGCAAGCTGCCTGAGGCTAGGTCAGCTCAGCGGGGGGCCTGCTGGGCCCCAAATATCCTCTTCACCTTTCGGTAAAGTGTCATTGAAATAGCTTTACATGTCTTAAGAGATTCTTTCTCATTTTGTGCCCAAACCTGCCACCCCTGGGGGCCACGTGGAACCTAACAGGCTCTTGCCCCCTCCCATTCCAGAGTCAGTCCAGGAAGTATTCACCAGCCACACTCAGCCTCCTGTTCCCTAGATTAAACACTGCATCCTTTTCTTCCTCTGTTCTCAGGCCTGTTTCTGCCATGGGGAGCTCTCTTCTGACCACAGTACAGTTTTATTGGCTCACAGCATCATCCGAACACAGCCCACTGGCTATATTCTGCCAGCATGCAGGATAGGACCATCACCTCCCTCTGTTTAAACGTCATTTTATGCAAAGCTGCCCCTCCCGGGGTGCACTCCCTCCATCACAGATCTAACTCCAAGACTGGAAGAGAAGCTGAGATTCTCTCAGACCCAGACTAGAGTTAAGTGTCTTAATTTGATAGATAAGAAACTGAGGACAGTCTGGAGATTGAGAACAGTCAAGAGACTGAGGACAGTCACAGAACTGGAGATTGGCACGAGGACAGTCAGAGCCACCAGCCCATGCCATGGGCACAGCCAGCAGTGGACTAGGGTAAGCTTGCAGCCGTGGTGGTGGCTGCTGCAGCAGGTTTGAGGGGGTGGCAAAGCATCAGTCTGAGAGCTGTCAGTGGGAGCATACACTGGTAGAAATATTTTGGGGCGGGTATCAAAAAGAATTTAATCCAGGACATCCCTGGTCGTCCAGTGGTTAAGAATCCACCTTGCATTTCAGGGGACGTGGGTTCAATCCCTGTTCGGGGAACTAAGGTCTCACATGCCGCAGAGCAACTACAGCCACTCCTGAAGCCCGCCAGCCACAACTAGAGAGTCCGTGTACTGCATGAAAGATCCCGCATGATGCAATGAGGATCCCGCGTGCTAAGACCCAACACAGCCAAGTAAATAAATAAAAAGAATTCAATCCCGCCAAAATACAGGGCTGTTGATAGGAAAAGTGTAAGGATGTTGTCGCAGAGGTAGCTAATTATTCCATAACTTATTTTCTCCTCTTTTTCTTTTAGCAATAGAACCCCCAACTTTTGAGGGGCACATCCTACTCAGTATAAAGATTCCATTTCCAGTTAGGTGTGGCCATGTGACCAAGTTGTGGCAAAAGTGGGTGTGAGCAAAAGTGATGTGCACCTTTTGGGTTGTATGCTTGGGGGGAAGTGATCTTCCATTTTTCCTCTCTTCCACTTCCGATGGCTGGAATGTGGACCCGGAAAACATGGTGTTAAGTCTTCTTCAACCACATAGACGAGGGCATCAAGATAAAGGTCATTTGCATCCCTGACTAAAGCAGAGCCGCCCTGTCCACCGTGAATGCTTACACACCTACTGAAACTGAAGAGAGAACTCGATTAAGCACCTGTTACTGTGGGTCTTTGTTAAAGAACTGCATCCTAGCTGGTACAGACATTCATTTCAACATTGTAAGTTTTTTTTTTAAAAACAGAAATGCCTAAATGTCTATCAGAGAGAAAGCGAGCAAAGGAGCCACGGTAACTCCACACAATTAAGCACATGAAATCATTGAAAAAAAAAAGAAATAGATGTATCTATAGGAGCAATGTTCCTGATAGACTATTAAAATGAGAAGTGCAAGTGATAGGAGAATGTAGCAGATGCTTGTGGTTTGCAGGGTTTCTGGGGACAAGTTACTTCCTTCCTCTCCTGTAGAAGATACAGGGGACACATTCTGCTTTGCCTTGGATGGTGTGATCTGAGGAGGGAGGTCTAGTACTGTGGCAGCCTTTTTGTTCCACCGAGGAAGACCCTAGATTTGGTGAAGGTGAAGCTGGTGGAGGTGAAGGACCCTAAAGAGAAAGTCCACATATCGAAGGACAGAAAGGGTCAGAGAGCCAGGTCTCCAGGGAAACTAAGGGGCTGAATAGAAGTCAGTGTGCAGTTAGTGAGTCTTCAAACTGTTTGTTTATCAGTTTAAGTCAATTTTAGCTAGATTTTCTTCGGCTTTATAAAAACGATTCCTTATAAGGATATTTATTATAGTTTATTAATAAGCCAAATATTTTAAAATCTATTTCCTTAAAAACAGATTAAAGAAGTGATGATACTTCTAATGGTACAATTCTATGCAGCCCAATTTTTTTTAAAAACTCTACATGTGGTGATATAAAAAGATATAGATATTTCAAGATATTTCATTAGGTGAAAAAAAAGGGTGGAGAAGATTCTGTCAAGTATGCTACCATTTGTGTGAGAAAAAATAAAAGTCTGAGCGAATATGTTTCTTAAAATGCTTGAAGTATCTCTTGAAGTATACTCAAGAAATTGATAACAATAAGAACTTAAATAGTGAGGGAACTGAGGAGAGAAGAATGATAATTTTTGACTGTCTACCCTCTTAGCTTTTTGAATTTTATACCATGTGTATATAATACCTGTGCAGAAAATAAAGTTAGTTCTAAAAAACTTTAAAAAGAAGACTCATAAGAGAGAGAGTGTGCACACGGGACAGTTTTATAATTGTCACATGTACCTGCATGCACTCAGTGGGAAAGTCGTGTGTCTAGATGTTCCTAGAAGTCTGGAATGATGTGCACCAAGCTATTAACAGTGGTTACCCCGGAGGAGAGAAGTTGGACCCTGTGTGTGTGTGCCGGGGAGTAGGGTAGGGTTGGGCAGGGGTGTGTACGCTGTGGGGGCTAGCTTATCAACTGGAAACTCACCCCACTCTAGCATTTCTTGCCAGGCACTGTTCTGCACAAGTATCCAATTTGCTTAATCCTCTTCCCAGGAGCTGAGGAAGAGCACTCCTATCACCTCCACTTAATAGATGGGGACAGAGGCTGAAAGGAGCCGCGAGGGACTGCAGAGCGGGCTGGCGCTTGAGCTGAGACCGTTTGGCTTCAGGTGACCCGTCCTGACACATGGCATTTTCCCACCTTTGTGACCCCCTGGGTGGGGCTATTGGGTCCCAGCTACGTGCTGGGACAGGAAGCCCTTTGTCAGGGAGCCCCTCACCCAACCACCTCGAGGGCTCCGGCGAGGGCTCCGGCGAGGGCTCCGGCGAGGGCGGCAACCCCACCACAGTCTCCTGCTTCTCCCAGCAGGCAGCTGACAGACACCACCTCCCTTGCCCTCCCTATCTGGAAGACAGGAAACTGGAGGGTAAGCCTCATGGGACTGCATTTTGTTTAAGCTTTATTAACAACACTCCTCTGTTTACTTTGGGAAACGTATAAGAAATTGGTAATGCCCAGTGCAGATGAGGTTATGAGGAGGATAACATAGTGGGTGTACGGATAATATCGGTGGGTCTGCAAAGGATCTGGGGGAGGTGACTGGACAAAATCCATCCCATTTAGGAAAGCACAGACCTTCAGAACTAGCCATTCCACTTTTAGGAAGGTATCTGACAGAACCGTTGAACAAGTATGCTGACCATAGCAGTCCCATAAATCATAACAGTCTCTGGAATTCTAGGCAGCTGTCAAAACGAATAACTCTGACTTAGGAACAGGCACAGAACATGTCTGTGGTGTAGTATTTAAAATACAAATTGCAAAATAATATGTAGAGAATAATGCGAGTTTTTTTTTAAAGCAATAAAAATAATGTGTATAGAAAACATATATATATAGAAAATGGTCTGAAAGCATACATGCCAAAATGATGATAGTGGAAAGTAGAATTCGGGAGGAAATGGAAGGTGAAAAAGAACTTTTCATTTTTCATCTGTATGCTTCAATATTGTCCATGTTTTTATAAACATATCTTAGCTTTGTAATTAAAACTTTTTAAAAAATTAGGAGCTAATAAATGATTTTTTTCATGGCCCAAGCATCAGCTTGCCAACTGTCCCCTCTCCCACATTGCCCCCTCCCTTCCACATGCTGTCTCATCTTCACCTGTTTGCTATCTTTGGACCTGAGGCTTCTGAGCTGGCTGCAAGGCTCCAGAGCCCCTCTAAACCACACTCACTAATCTCTCCCTAATCCTGGCTCCCCAACAGCTCAGACCGGCTGCTGTCTGCTCCTGTGGGAGGTGGGCAGGAGTCCCCTTGGTTTATACCCCTTGGTTTAAAAAAGGAAGCAGCTATGGATACTCAGGACTCCAGGACCTGTGAGCCTCTAGAGAGGGGGCCTGGGCTCTCCCAGGAGGCCTTCCTCTCCTCCTTACGCATATCCATCGCAGCCAAAGCATTTTCTAAGATTTGGGTGGGACCGCAGAGATGGTGTTGTTCCAAGGTGAGAACACTGCATCCAGGCCAAGCCTTTTTGCCATCTGCGTCTTTCCAAGTGTTGTCCCTTAATTTCAGTCTGAACGCTCACTCTTGTTAACTGTTCAATAAGGGCACTCTGTCAGAAAGCTGCCATCTGTATCAGAGCTTCTTGGCTGTGATGGCACAGGGGGGATCACCTGGGGAGATTTGCAAACTACTGACACCTGGGCCCTGCTCCTTGTGGTTCTGATTTATTTTAACTGCAGCGCTGGGATTTTTGTTACTCCCTAGGCAGGGCTGAGAACCACTGATTCAACACGGTGTGATGTGATTTGTGTGTGTGTACATATAGGCTGCGTGCATATATTAATGTAACCCATACGTAGAAACCTGTACCCCCACACACCACCAAAAGCCAGATTTCCCAGCACACAAAATAACATGTACTGCTGAGGTCACCAGCAAAGCAAGACACCCAAAAAGGCCAGGAAAAAAAACACATTTCAAATGTGATATTTAAAAAAAATGAAAAGGTCAGAGTGGGGAAATTCAGAATGTTCATTGCGCTTCTTTGCTTGTTTTTGGATGGGGCTTTTCTTATACTCCATGTGGTGGGGAAGAAGCCCCTTGATCCTTCCCTGGTCTGGCAATGAGACCCAGGGAAACCTTCCCAGACTGGGACCTGGGACCCTTCACTGCAGAGCTGCAAAGCTTGCTCCTGGACACAGCTCTCCTCCAGCTACAAACATACAGAGAAACTATATGGGACTAAAAATAACCCTATGTATGCACAGTTGGGGCAAATTCTGGACCAAAAAGATACAAAAAAGACACACACACACACACACACACACACAACTGTCATTTCTGAAGAGCCAGGAGCAAAAAAAACTGGGTGTTGGGAGCAAAAGCACCGTACTGGGCAAGCCCCCCTAACACTCAACACCACAAAGGGATGGGCAAACCACTTAAGCTACCCCTCATGGCCAACCCCCAGACACCCCCCTACCCTCACCCCAGGGCTCACCCCCACCTCAGGGAGCCAGCAAGGGAACCTGTTATTTGTTATTCCTCTGTCCTATACCTGGTTCAGGATCCCCAGTAAGCCTCGCCTAAATGTCTTCTCTGGCCTCTGGTCAATTTCTGCTCACGGGGAAGGCCAAAAATGCTGGTTGGTACCCGCCCTACATATCCACAAAGAGGGCTGGTTGCCCAGAGCCACACAGCAGGTGTCCTGGTTGAAGTGTCCAGTCCCTCTGGACGGGCCCCACCTGCCCCTGGTTCTCCCAGGGAAAGTCCTCAAAGACAGAGTCCTGGCCTGGGGCCAAAGGGCCCAAGAAGGCCATGCTCCCAGTCTTCCAGGCCCTGCCCTCGCCCCAGAGGAACAATGTGGCCAAAGGAACCAAGCTCCTATACCTGCAGTTGGCCCCAAATGTGGGGGGCTCTGACCTCAGGCTGAGGGGTACACGTGCGTGAGATGTATACATGGAGCCCTGCCTCAAGTAGAGGAGAGTGGACTAGCTTCAGAGTCATTTCCCAACCTAAGTTGATGAGTCAAGTATACAGAGTGAATCCCAAGGAAATCCTTGCGGAAGTCCTATGAAGAACTGATGGGCTGGTTTTCATCTGGATGGTTGGTTTTCAAGCTTTCCTGGAGGAGGTGAAGTTAGAACTGTGCCTTGAAAGATGAGCAGGACTTAACAGGGGAAGGAGAGCGAGAAGACAGAGCTGCCCCTACCTACTGCTCCACGCCTCACCCCTCCTCTTCCCTGACCCGTGCTACAGGAGCCCTCTGCAGCCTTGAGGACCGAGAGCTCTGGGAGAGGGCTGGGGAGGAGCCAGAGGGTGCCCACCCCCACTCCCCTCCTGGAGATCAGCCTCACAGCTGAGCATCCCTCTCTGGACCTGCTGGGCTCAGTCCTGACTCCTCTGACCTGGCCTTGAGATGCCCAGTCAGTCTCCTCCCGAAGCCCCTGTCTTACAGCACATCGCTGCCCCAAGTCACAGCTGGGAACTCACTCCAGGGGCTTCCCTGGGGACCCTTGGAGCCTAGATCTCAACCTGGAATGGCCTCAGAAAGATATCAGAAACCAGGACACTACTCTTGCACCTGCAGAGTCTTGACTGTGCCAGGTGAGTCCTGTGCTTTCTGAAGTTGCTTCCAGGGACACGGATGACCAGCCAGGATTGAGAACCACAGCCAGTGCCCCCAAGCTAGGGGAGAGAGGGAGGCAGGCAAGATGGAAGGAGGGGGGTCAAGAGGGACAGCTGCCCAGGGGAAAAAGCCAGAGGCACTGGGACAGGTGGAGGACCAGGCCCAGCTAAAGGGGACTCTGCAGAAAACAAGTGTTCAGTGAGCAGCCCTGAATCTGGTCTCTGTTCCCCGGGCTCTCAAGGTCAGGGAGAGGGAGCCAGGGACAACTGTTGACCACCAACAGGGGCAGAAAGACACAAAGGCCCCCAAAGAGGGCCTCCTGTTGTGTCTACGGTTGGTGCTCCCCTGACAGCAAAGACTTCATCTGTTCACTGCTGTCTCCCCAGCACCTGGCTACATGGTAGACGCTGCTAAACATAATGACTGAGTGAACTTTAAATGCCAACCCGTTTCCTCTACCAGGACTGTCAGGGTTTCTCAGTCTGTGAGCTTCTTGCATGGAACAGAGGTTCAGATAGTAGTGCTGGGGCAGAAGAGTTAAACAGGTATCTTTCTAAAGAACACATAGAGATGGCCAACAGGTATGTGAAAAGATGCTCAACATTGCTAATTATTAGAGAAATGCAAAGCTAAACCACAATGAGGTATCACCTCACACCAATCCAAACGGCTATCTTCAAAAAGTCCATAAATAATAAATGCTGCAGAAAATGTGGAGAGGAGGGAACCCCCCTGCACTGTTGGCGGGAATGTAAATTGGTGCAGCCGCTATGGAAAACAGTATGGAGGTCTCTTAGAAAACTAAAAATTAGAGTTCCCATATGATCCAGCAATCCCAGGCCCCTCAGAAAGAACAGGCTGGGGCCCTGCCCTTGACATTTCATGACACTTGGAAGCCCAGGCCTGTCTGAAAACTGAGGTGATCTCCAGCCCACCTGCAGCTCCTCTCACCTGTGTTGCAGGCCCAGGCGTGTGTAAGGCTGGCCCTGGGGCAGTGAGGAGGGGAGGGGCAGGCTGGGGGCGGAGCCACCCAGAGGCTGCCCGGAGCCTGAAATCCCTAAAGCTTCACTGGTCCCGTCTAGCTTTTCATTGAGTTGCTCGTGTTTCAAGGCTATCTTCCCTGGTGTTTGCATTCCAAATGAGAGCCTAGATAGCCAAGAATGGAATTTCAGGGGTAGTGACGTGCAGTGGTCATGCACCTGCACGCAGGAAGTTCAAATTCTCCATCTTGACTTTGGACAAGTTGTTTGACCTTCTGGTGCCTCTGTGTCCTCATCTGTAAAATGGGGAAATAATAACACCCACCTCACAGGGTTGTGGCAAAGGATTTAATGAGTGCCTGGCATCTAACATGTATACACGTGGAAGTGTGAGTAGCTATTGTACTTTGTGGTATTTCTAGGAGACATCTGTTTAGAAGTGGAAATGTCTTTCAGCGCCTCTCAAATTGTCTCCAAAGGTGCTTTACTCATCTCTTGAGAGGCCAACCCAGCTGCCAGGCCAGGACAGGAACTTTCAGAGACCAGGTGGATGGCGTATCTGATCCAGATCAGGCACTGCCGTCTTTGAAATGTAAATGAGGATTGTGTTTTGACTCTGTCAGTTCAAAGGGAAGCAATTGGATGGAAGCACTGTTTCCCCTGGCAGGAGGGCAGGAAAGCCCCGATGTTGGGAGGAGGGGAGGTGTGGGAGAAGGCCACTGGCCATTAAACCACTATCTGGAGAACTGGAGAAACCACCTTGGACATCACCAAGTCCAATCCTCCCACTGTACAGATGGCGAAACTTCCTCTCTGGTGAGTATTTCTATCCTTGGAGATTCAGTTTCCCCATCTTCAAAGCAGAGGTGTAACCTCCATTCCACC